CCACGAATTGTCTAAATCGGAGGTTCAAACAGGCGATATTTTTAATAAAAATCTAGGTCGGTACCGCTATAACAGCATGTTGGGTCATAGTTACAATTTACAAAATCTTGGATCGAATCTGATGGCTAATTAACTTAATTTAGGATTATTGTCTCTTTGAACCATTATCGGACTATGAATTTTTCCTACTTTTCCTATGAATTCATGATAAGATCCTGGCAAGTAGAATTCTATTCTGTAACGCCACATAGTTCTTATTAGGAAAGGAAAGATGGAAGCCAGTGCCGCCATATTAAGTTACGAAGCAATGTATCAGAGTGGCCGCTCGATATAAGGCAGTTAATGACTTCGACCTCTCGAACACTGAGATCGTAGGATCTAGTTTCATCTGTAGACAAGGATGTTTCTATGCATGTTGTTCTGTGTGGGCGGAAGCCTTGTGATGGGCCAATTTCCCTTCCAAGAAGACCTATCAGGTCTCCAAAAGATCCATACTTTCAGAAATTAATTCTGAACTTAACAAGTTAATATTCCTAATCCATAAAAGTTAACGGTGAAGAAGTTGGAAAGTAGGATCTATAATAAATCGGTAATATGAAACGTAGACTATTTTCTATTCAGTTTCTTATTTGTAACCGTGTTATCAATTCCGAAACTTGATCACCTCAAGTCGGCCGCGCCATAGCTCAAGCGGTTAGGCTTCCCACCGCGGCGGCAAGGGTTTGATCCCGGGTCTGGTCAAGTGGGATTTGTGGTGGACAAAGTGGCGCTGGGGTGGGTTTTCTCCAAGTACTTCGGTTTCCCTTGCCAATCTTCATTCCACCAAATTCTCCATTATCATAATCACCCGGGGCAAGTACAATAGGCCAATCAGTGGCCGCCGTGCCGAGTGCACCCAACTGGACTCCACCCCCCACCCACTATGCGAATTTAATTTAATGATCACCTCTAGCTCGATTAATATTAAAAAGAAAGGAAACGATGTTACCACTGCCATCCATTGAAACAATTGGAACATTACTGACTGGGTGAGTATAGCAACAGAAACAGTCTCGAGTCATAACACCGATACAATATTTACAATCAATATTGTTAAGGCAATAAAATGGATGGTTAGGTGGGCAGGAAATTAGGAAGTAAGGAAAGGTAAGAAATGCATACAAAATTTTAGTCAGAAAAGCCTTGAAAGGAGATACAAATTGTAAAACACAGACACAGATGGAAGAATACAATTAAAATGAATTTTCGGTATGTAGAAAGTGATAAAACCCTATGGGCCTCCACGGCCTGTAACAGGGATATCTTTACTTTTTTACTTACTTACTCAGTGTGTTACTACGGGGATCTCAAGGGCGCTGCGACATTTCAGCTTGTATACATTCAGCAACAGTTGATAAGTGAAATAATAATTATATGTTTCATAATCTTATCCTGTCAGTTCATCACTGCACTCTTTCCCGTATTTTCCATAGCCTTTTTCTTTATATTCATTTGGGGCAATACGGTCTTTTAACATAAACTAATTTGAAATGTATTAATGTCGATTTATTTAGAGTTTTGATGATTTTAAACAGGAAGTGAATTCAGGCTTGGAACAGAGAAGCAACGTTATTGCAGGGCTAAAGTTACGCGATCTGTTAACGCAGTAAAATAAAAAGTACCACCGTGATCAATGCACAAGACTTGTGGAGAATCCTATAATTTAATAACTTATGTTAGCATGCTATTTCTCTGACGTCACAGATTTGAAAAATTATGTTAATAACTTCGAAACGGCTGTGTCAACAGAATATTGGACAGAATGTTGGCGAGGTAATCTCCACACCACTCGTGATAACAAAGACGCTCTCTAAACGACGCTAATAATTAGAGTCCACTTATAACTGTAAATAGTTAACAAAGCGTTCATGTGCAATAAAACAAATTATTTTATTTAAGTGGAGTCTAAACTGAGGATAAAATCATTAACAAAATATATCAGTGTAAGCGAGCCCAACGAGATCACAGTTTAGTTATTACTACCCAGTGGGAGTGTATAACAAGCTGTGCAATAAATCACTGAGCACCTTGTTAGCATGAACCTAACAACGGAGTATCGTTCAGCGAAGCTCGTAGCCGTCCAGTACCTCTAAGATCCTCAAGCAAAACGACTCCACTAATAGCCCACACCTTCTCAGTTAACAGGTAGCCTCATCTCGTCTGAACCACATGTCCCCCAGTAAACGAATTAAGGAGAGGGAAGCGCGTAACCTGAACGGTGACAAAGTTCTGTTACACAACATTGTTTTCCTGTAACGCAGTAAAATATTTGAGTAGTTTTGAAAAATTAATGTATTAAGACATCTTCACATGTGTGAAAATTACGATGGTTAACCAGAAAAGGCTGCATCACGCGAGAGAACTGAACAGAAGCCGATGAGAAGACAGTGCAAATCGCGTCTGAAACAGGAGAATGCCAAACATATTCAGATATGAAGACCAAAGTCAGGGAATAATAATGATAATGATAATAATAATTAATGTAAAGCTATCCCTGCAACACACCGTGGAGGCCAATAAGTTTGTGAGATGTTGAGGTTCCCACATTTTCTGTACAATCGTCTCACAAATGGTAGTGAGGTTGTCAGAGCTGCGCGCCGATCGCCCTGTACCCCCAGGAAGTATTATTTGTTGAGGCACTATGCCACATGCCGGAAACTTGGAGGTTTGATTCCCGATGAGATCATTGGATTCTTTTTTAATTTACCTAATACTTCCAGCCGCACTATGCCCCTAGGTTTGCCTCAAACTCTAAGACAAATGATTACTAGGAATCTTGTGTATTTTGTCATCTACGTTCCATTCTGATCCCCAGTACCTCTCATGATTTCATCTCAGCGTACCTCATTCGGTATTCTATTTAGGGTCCATGTTCTAAAAATGGGTACAAATTTGCTAATTTCTGTGTACTTTTGTTTATGTAATTTGGCATTATGTTCAACCTTCCTAATGCGCGTCAAACACGGATAATTATACTCTTGCACAAAACAATATTTATCACTTTAGTTGGTGCTTTCCGTATAGGGCCATATTCTGGTGATGGTATTTAATTACAATGAACGCCTACTAACAATTAAGAAACATCGAGATATTACGTTACTTCAGTGTATAGTCACATTTTATATGTATTGTATTCAGATGGCTTCAGCTTCCTAAATTTCAGGTCATAAATTCATTCATAATATTGAAACGAAATTACAATACCGTAAATATATAATACTGGAAATACTTCTGTCTTTACTGCATCTGCACCTTATTGCAGATTATAAAGTAAAAAAGTAAAGTATTACTTTTTTTGTTGCTAGTGGGGTGGGACTAAGTCCCTTGTACAGCGGCCATTTCTGGCCTATTGTACCAGCACCAGATGATAGGTGAGGGTGATTATGGAGGAATTGCTGGAATGAAGATTGACAGGGGAAACCGAAGTACTCGGAGAAAAACTGCCCCAGCGCCACATTGTCCACAACAAATCCAACTTGACCAGACACGGGATCGAACCCGGGCCGCCGCGGTGGGAAGCCAGCGACGAACCGCTTGAGCTATGGCGCGGCCATAAAAAATAAAGTAAAGGTATCCCTGTAACTGGCCGTGAAGGCCCATAAGGTTGTGATATGTTGAGGTTCCCATATTATCTAGACAATCGGCTCAAAGATGGCGGTAAGATTGTCAGTCTTACGCGCCGGCCGCGCTTTACTCACCACGAAAATTATTTAATTAATTCCTGGTACTCATTTCTGTTGGAGGCTGAGTCGATCCCAGGGCCATAGTGAGGTAAATTGAATAAAATCCAGTGACCTCATCGGGACTTGAACCTGCGACCTTCAGGCTTGTAGCATAGTGCCTCAATCAACTACGCTATAAAATAAAATACATTGTTTTGGAAACTGTATTTTAATATAGGCAGACTCACCTAATCCAAAGTTAGCTTGGTCCCGAAAGAATTTACTTAACGCGAAAACGTATGCGCTGAAGACCCGGTTTTCCATGATATATGTACACCCATTGTAGGCAACATCTCTGTAAACATATTTTCTTGCGAGCCAACGCGCGCAAGAATAGGACGTCCATTGCTAGGCAACGGATCGGTAAACAAGCCTCCTTAACAATAGAGACTCTGTATTCCATGGGGTCATCGCAAAATGGTTATAAGGAAGTGTTCGGCAGTATGGAACAGTAGTCGCAAGTGAAGAGTCGAGTTCGAGACGCCAGCCTTCCAGGATATGATTTCGGGAACAGAGGAATTGAATTGAGTCGAGTCTTCTGAATTGGCAGTTGCAGAATAATGACAAGAAAGGAGTTAGGCGGCGCAAGGAAGACTTCATGTGAGATTATAAATTACAGTGAGCAAATTATCCTTCACATTCTTAGCCTGTTTTCCTGTCTTATGAGAAACGGCAAGCTTATTAGATCTCCATGAAGGAGCCGGGATAGAGTAGTCGTTATAGCTACTGCCTACGGGCTGGACGACTGAGGAGTCGGAGTTCGAGTCCCGATAAGGTCAATAATTTTATATTCTCCAAGTAGTCCAGACCGGCTCTGGGGTCCACCCAACTCCTGTCCAATGGGTACCGGAGGCTCTTTCCCCAGGGGTAGAGCGGACGGGGCGTGAAGCTGGCCACTCACCTCTAGCTAGTGCCTAGCTCAAGAAAATATGAATGTATACATTCACTCCTCCATACACCTTCATGGCGTAGTGTTTAATGGTTAAGCACAGGGATAATTTTACGTTTTTTTAGGATACGACTAGTGAAGACTGAGAACCCTAGTGTGTGTTTAACGGTGAACTGTGAAGATTATCTGTGAAGATCAGCGATAGCGCTGTATTACCTGTAGTTCCGAGTGGTGTGAGGGCCCGCCGTGCCGAGGTGACAAGGGGTTATGTACGGAATTACGAACTAACGTATTAGATCGCTCATTTCAGATTTATTTTCTTTCAAATTTCTGAATAATGTTATTCTTACCTCACGTTCTCATGTCGACTCATGTAGATCTTCTTGAACTGGCTGTCTTTCGAGGATCCGAGGTCTTGGCGCATCTTGACAGCTACGTGTTCGGGCAGTACCGACAAAAGTAACCGCTCCTGCAAGGATAAGAAACTTCTTTGAGACATCTTAACATTCGCAAATGAGAGACTGGTTAAATACAACGATAGAATTCTTTTTGAATGACATTTTATTTAATCTTTTATCTCGAACAGTTTTCAACCTTAATTTAGGGGCAGCGCTGTAGCTCAAGCGTTTAGTCGCTGGCTTCCCACCGCGGCGGCCCGGGTTCGATCCCGGGGTCTGGTCAAGTGGGATTTGGGGTGGACGAAGTGGCGCTGGGGCAGGTTTTATCCGAGCACTTGCTTCCCCTTCCAATCTTCATTCCACCAATTGCTCCACAATCACCCTCACCTATCATCTGGGGCTGGTACAATAGGCCAGAAGTACAAGGGACTTAGTCCCACCCCACTAGAAACCTTAATTTATCCCATGATTTTCAATGCGATTCCATTCCAGAGAGTATGAATGAAGAAAAAATATTTATTATGGTATATGATTATATTCTGACATGACGCCTGAAAGCCGGAATATTTCATTACTAGGCAACGGCTCGGTAAAAAGTTTCCCGAGAAAATCAGCAGGCACGTAACACTAGAAGAACCCTTTTCTAAACAATGGATCGGTAGACACACAACAATAGGGGTATTGCTGCAATTGGCGTTTTCTATTCGGTCCGTCCTAAGCGGTTATAAAGGAGAGTTCAGTTGAGAATAATCAGTCTTATGCTAGCCCGCCAGGTCATTCGCGGCAGATGTGCATCTAATGAAACTGGAGCGTCTGCAAAACAAGGTCCTCCGCACCATTGGCAATGTTTCAAGGCACACACCGGTTAGCGATTTGCACATGGCTTTCAAAATTCCGTACGTATATGATTATATAACAAAATTATGCAGGCAACATGCAGAAGTCATACAAAATCATGATAACGAAACTGTTCGCAATATTGGACAAGGCGAAGTCCGACATAGAAAGTTTAAACTAGGCGGCGGTCAGTCATACGACCTTTCAAATGAGTAGACTGCCGTTGTAGCGGAAGCTTCTAGAAATGGGGCATAAAATGCTGTACTGTACCTGGACCGACAGAGGCCTGTATATATTTCATAAACATTTGTTAACATGTTTAACATGTAAAATGTAAATATCCTTCAAATTATGACAAATTACTTACTACTGCAGACAATGACTTTGATAAAAGACAGACGCGTCCTATCATCAGAGAGGGCGCCCCACAATTACAAGACCGAAAGTGTCAAACAGTAAAAAATATTTGGTCATAAGCCCCAGATGGGGCTCTACACCAAGGCTAACTGACCTTCAGTCGCAATGTGATTTTGAGAATAATCAATCGAGTTCCGGAATTCCAAGTGAGCAGTCAAGCGAGAGTTCAGCTCTGCGAAGATAATTGAGAAGAGATGGCAACGAGATAGTTGGCAGTTACAGCAGAGAACTTGATTGAGAGTTACGGAGTTTTCAGTTGGCAGATGATGTAGCCGTCGAGAGAATTCAGTTGACAGCTGATAGTCCAGAAGTGAAGAGAAGTCTTTATGTGTGCTGTCGTACAGTGATATTTGGAGTGTGTGTTTCAGGGGGATTGTAGGTCTGTGTTAAAATCCTTTACCAAGATACGACTAGTGAAGTCTGAGAACCATAGTGTGTTTGTGTAACGGTGAACTATGAGGTGTGTAGATCAGCGACAGCTCTGTAACTGCCTGTAGTTCCGAGTCCTGTGTATAAGGTGTCTATAAATCCAATCATCCAATCAAAAACCCGTCTTATAGGCACACACGCATAAGTCGTGGCAATATAAGTATGCCGATTTTAATCTTACACGGAATAATTGGTTCATCAGAACATTAATTACTTTCTGTACACGCTGTGTACGAAATGAACTCATATAGAGCTAGTAATGTCTGTGTATTACATTTCGAGAAGAGCTGGACGGAATTTGATGAAATTTAATATGGATATTATTCCATTGGATCCTAGCCCAATCTAGTACTTCTAAAGAGTTCTTTATTCCTAGATGTAACTTCGTGTAGTCTGGTGAAATTCAGCCGACGTTTCGGAAGAATATATCTCATACATCCACAAGGCTGATGAGTAAGCTAACAAAAAACCAGGGATGAACAGGCAAGGACCAACGTCTGCTGTCTTTTCATCGGACTACTCGGTGTTAAATCTCGGAAGATAGACGTCTTCACAACCACCGCTGTGAGAATCTTAAATCATGCATAGTATTTCATAATTTCCTACAACCAGGATTAGCAGCATGACAAACGCACTAAGTTTTATGATGGGACCGACAGTAGCGCCGCGTAATAAATTGTCTTGAAAGTGTGTATAGTAACAGATCTTTAAAATTTATGCTTCTGTGTTTGGTACTATGCGGAGAATTTATCTCTCCAATTATGACTTGTTTTCTGATAGCTCTCTACTGCAAGACCAAATACGTGTTGGCTTTGTTTTGTATTAGCTCTCACAGTTGGTTCGTGTTGTGCTTGGCTTGTACACCTTACCTTGGTGTTGGTACATTTCTCTGTAAATAGTCACTAGCTGTATCTATTGGGACCAAATAAGTAGGTTTTACCTGATGACGGAGAAATAATCCGGTCTCCGAAAGGTTGTGTTTTTAAATAAAAAGAAGACTATGTTCTACATAAAAATAGGACGATGGATAATGTCCAGAAACATAATATTTACATATACAAACTTGTTAAAATATTTTTTTTTGTAAGATTAAGAGAGGCCGGTCACGGTAGCCGAGCGGTCTAAGGCATATACTGTCTTCGCTCGCTTGGAAACCGGGATTGTGGGTTCGAATCCCACTAAGGGCATGGATGTTTAGTTTGTGTGCGTGCGATTTTCTGTGTTTGTGTACAGGTAGAGGCCTTGCGACAGCTGATCACCCGCCGAAGGGGTCCTACCGAATGTGTAAAATCTAGAAAAACCGAAGTGAACGGAGAAGTTCATGGAGGTAGGCCTAGGCCCACTGGGGCTGTAGTGCCAAGGGAAAAAAAAGATTAAGAGCAAAAAATTTTGCCTTGTTGTATAAAATAGAGTTTTATATTTTATGTTGATAATTATAAAACTGTTGGAATTATGGGAGAAAATTTAATATTGCGATAGATGTAGGTACCAAGGAAGCGCATGGAATCCATATTTTTTCTATACAGATGAATGCTCTCCAATCTGTTTTTTAAATGCGATTTAATTTCTGGAAGATTGAAAAAAGATATCGGTCCTTTTAGTATACTGGAATCAGAAGGATATGCACTTGAAATTATTTGCATTGTTGTGTAACACTGTAGATCAATGTTTGCGGATTAGCACTGCTGTCACAGTAACCATTTCCCAGCTTCATTCGCTTGTACAGCATTATAAAATCCATTGACAATATCGTATCAATCTCGAGCTTTAAACTTGGGCCCAATTTTGGCCGAGTTCAGTAAAAGTACTGCTTTTACTATGGAAATATGATAGAAATGCTGGGCAAGTTAGCTAAAACAGTAACGCTTGTGACTTGTGTTCGGGAGATGCCCGCTTTGTGTTCAAGCCGGAATATTTAAAATCCTTGCTGGGGAGTTCTGTGGCTTTAGCAGACACTACAAGCATGCACCAGAATGCTACCTAAAATTGTGCTACGGACTGTTTATCCCAAACCCTTTTCAATTAATAGTCCGACAATACACAGTGCCCGCTACTGACATGTGCCGTCAAATAAACCATAAAAAACATTACTTAAAAACTGACTTATATTCTTTATATAACAGCAACGTGCAATTTCGAATGAAACAGTAAATTACTTGTTGTGTTTGAGTTTTGGAATTGACATATTAACCCTCCTTTCAGTTGATATTAAAAATTACATTACAGGCCGGAAAATTGTGCAAAATGTTGAGTACTATTTTACGAAATGTAAACCACATACTCCTGTATTTCTCTCATTCAAATTCACATTTGCTCAGGATTGGCACGACTATTTGGATACCTGCCAATTATTTTTACAGGCACGTTTTCAGTAGATATTGTGTCATGGCCATATATTCATCACGTACGATGGAGCAGTTTTTATAACGATGTCTCCTTTATTCCTAATTAATATCCATCCTTATCCCATTGTTCCTTTTCTCAAGTACGTCACACAAAAAGAAAATATTCACGTAACATCTAATCTCGTGGCAGTTTATCGGCTTCATGTAGGTACACAGAACTGTTTTTTAGGCTTCTCTGATTTCATTATTTTCCATCTGTTGAAATATTTAGAGAATGTGGTAGTGTATACGTATAGAAGAAAACCTTTTCTTAATCAGAAAATATAATATTTAGCCCGAAACGTTATGAAATATAATCATTAAGTTTGTTTCTGGTTTGTCATCAATTTCGTTGACTGGGAGTACGCGGTAGAGTAGTTGGTTGAGGCACCATACTACAAACCGAGTGGTCGCCAGTTCGATTCTCGATGAGGTAACAGGATTTTTTCAATTGACTAATAATTGCATCCTCACTATAGCCTTGAAGTCGACTCAGCCTCTAACAGAAATGTGTACCAGGATTCTTCCTGGGGGGTAAAGGGCGGCCGGCGCGTAAGGCTGACAACCTCATGGCCACCTGTGAGCCGATTGTCTAGAAAATGTGGGAGCCTCGACGTCTCACAACCCTATGGTCTTCAATAGCCTGTTAAAAGGATAGCTTTACCTTCTTTATTGATTACTTTGATTATGAAATAAGTGTAAACTGTACACCCTGTTCTGTGACACGATTATGTGCCACAGTGCATCACATATATTCTCTAGAACCTTATACTTGATGTAACTGATAAAGAAATCAAGAATGGATTTTTTCACCTAAAGATTTGAGATCATGTTCCACAAAGTCGTACTGTTGGACCCAGTTCTGAACTTCATTATGGGCTCTTTAATAGAATCTCTTCAAGACCGTTCTTTCAGTTCCCCATGCGACAATTCAAGAGTTTTTAATAATTAAGAAATCTCTTCTAATGATAATTTGTAGAGATAATGGTCAGTAATTAATACTA